TGTTCAACTTTTTTATTTGGTATGGTGTGATTCATCTTCAATCAATTGAATCAATCAAATTTGTGCTCCGACTCAATTAATTTGCATGAGATTGGCCACAAAATATGTAGCTAGGATGATAATGGAGGCTTACATGATCTTTTTGTTTCGAGCAAGGTAATAAATCATTGCGGTCTTGCTCGATGTGTTTTGGAATGATAATGATGCATCTGATTTAGTTTTCTCATGTTGAAGACTCAAACTCTTATTATAGAATTTAACTAAGATGTTGGTTAGTTTAGTTGATAAAAATAAATTTGAATGATTTATATTATTTAAAAATTAGATTTATTATGAAGAAACTTATGTCATTTCTCTCTTTAAACTTGGATGATAGAACTATAAAGGACCTCCACCAAGAAAGTTTTATTGGAAATTCCATGATCTTATTGTTCTCATGTAATTTCATGATCATTGGAATGCTAAGCTCTTTGTAGTAAGTGATGATGAAACTTCAGATCATTACATATTTTAAACATTCGTCTCTTCATGATTAATCCTTGATCCTTTTGTTTTCCTTGTAATCAACTACACATCATGTTCGAATAAGCTCAAGCTTTGAGAAAATAGAGGGGCTCAAGTTCATATGCATTCTATGGGCTATTTATATGACCTTAATTGGATTTAAGATAAAGTTGAAAGATCTATGTATCGAGTTGTTGTGGTGATGCTCTTTGGTAACTAATACAATACTATTTATCAAGCAATTTAGAAAAGTAGTTTAATCAAATTAAATTAGATGAGTTTAAATCATATTACTCGTGATTAACATATATTACGTTAGACACTGATTCATAATATTTTAAGTTATGAATTAAACTATGATGATTGATTTTTTTTAATTCTTAGAAATATACTATTAGTCCTCTTTTTACTCTTCATTTCATGAATATTTTCCTAATATAAATAAACTAACAAAATTGGGAATTCCTCTACACATTTAACACACACTAGTCCACAATTAAGCACTATCAATTTGCAAAATCAACACAATAAAAGCCATCATTTGGCTTCTTTTTTATCTTATCATAACATGGGCAAGCTAACCTTTTCTAAGGCAGGCAGTGAGGCTCAAATCTCAATGCCATGTTGCCATGCATAAGCCACATGCCTCATATATTTATATTCCCTTCCCTCTCATTCCAAGCATGCAAGTGGTCCTTCCTCTCTCTCTCTCTCTCTCTCTCACTCTCTCTCTCTCTCTCTCTCTCTGTCAAAAACCTCAATCACATCATTGTGGTCCTCCCTCTTCTTGTGTCGCACGACCCATACTTTCTGCTTCTCCTTGTTTCTCTTCCTGTGTTCTACAAATTGTTCAGTCCTCCCCCAGCATCCTCCTCATGCAGGTCCCTCCACCCATCAGATCCCTGGAAGTTCTCCAAAAGAACATCCATTCAGGTAGAGAGGAGGAAGCTCAGTACACCACTTGGTCCTGTTGGGGAGGTGAGCTTTGGATGTGTGGCTTGAATGAGAAACCTCAATGTGTGTTGCACAAGCTATACTGAGGCCCCACATGCAATGTTTCCTCCCCTTTCCCCTTCACATGTCAAGAGTGTGTGAATGTGCAGCGCTAAGAGGTCAGAAGGACATTTGTGTTCTTGAGAGCTTGGCTGCTGCAACAAAAACCATGACCATTTAAATTTGTGGCTGATATGTGGTTTTGGATAAATGGTTGTGGTGGGAAGAACATCATGATTTCATCATACACAGAAACATTCAACTTTCTTTTATCAAAGTCTGACATGATGGTTTTTTATTTATTTATTGTATTCCCAGAGATATAAACAACATAGCATCTAATTAATATACTCCTACAACATTAGTTAAGGGATGATGTATTGTTCCATCCACTTATTAAAGTTATGGGGGTTAAGAGTTTGAATTTTTCAATCTAAAATATTGATAAGATATACTTTTCAAGAATCAAGGATTCTAAAGTTTGATTGGATAAATTTTTATATTCTTTTAGCTAAGATAGCTCACAAAATGACTTCAGTATACTTTTGCCTGTTCTTTGATTAACTCAATAAAGGGTTCTCTCTCAAAATAAAAAGTCAAAATCAGCACAAGAAGTTTAACTAGACTATTAATTCTGATGACAATTGAAAGTGAATTAAAAAAACACCAAATATTGAGATTATCACATAATATAAAATAATAATTCTAAGAGTTAACCAATCATGGACATAGAAATTCTCAAAGTTGGGTAAGTCATCAATTAACTAAAAAAAGACAGTTCATATACAATAAGAAAGGAATTGTCTACTTTAAACACACAAATGATGTTGCTGAATAGTCTGTCAAAATTGAACACTTAAACTTTGATTCTTATCATTTATGCAAGATATAAGGGAATGATTGGTGTTGCTATCATCATTCTAAAAAAAATAAAAAAAAGGTTATACATATAAATTAAATAAAAAGCATGTATAAACCATGGTACTGATACAATCACCATAGACATTCATGTGACACTAACATGGATCTTGATATGCTTATCACAACTTAAATTTGATGTGTCTATATATACACAAACTATGAATAAAATAACAAGGAAGTCACATCCATCACTACAATGATAATAACAAGTTATAATATTTTAATTATATAAATCCTTTTCCTCAAATTATATAGAATGAACAAAATTGCATACTATCATTGTCCTTTTCATGGACACTTCTTTTGCTTGGACTTATTGGTTGGCTTAACCATGCCAAATCCACCATGATATGAGCACATGATAGGTGAGCATGAACAATGTATTTTGTTTTGAGTTAAACACTACTATTTTTGTTACATCTCAATTACATTCCAATTATGTTTGCACATATCATGCAAAGATCAGACAAATCTAAGGAGGTACATAAATTTTATATAATTCAAAATACATAAAAACTCATTATATTAAACCAATTGCTCAAATATACACTATGCATAGGAAGTTGAATTGAAAAGATATCTGTTGCTTTTTAAAGTGCTAGTTCATATATCATTATTATTTCTGATGATAAAATATATATATATATATACCTTCTTCTTTTTAATTTCTTTATTTTTGGTTGATCTTGATACCAGAATTTTTAAACATTTGTATCTTTTAGATCATTTAGGAAGAGTTCTCTTAGAAAGTAAAAAGGTCATGAAAACATAAACAACTTGTACTCCTTTGAAATAGACTTCAACCTACTGTTCAACAACAGTCCATTTCTTTTCCCTTCTCACACATCTTTTACTCATTAAATGGATAATTTTAAATAACCTCACCATTAAAAGGATTGCATGACAGTGTTGATTTGAGACACTGATTATGAAAGGTCCTACTGATAAGGATACTATATTTTACTTGTGTTATGCCACTCATCTTCTTCTTTTTTTTTTTACATGTTTGCTACAGATTAATAGTTTATAGAATTTAGGAATCAGGTGGATTTGAATTGGTTGTTTTTATATATGCTGATTATTATTGTTATTATTCTTACTATTACTAATATTTCTAATTGATCGGACCTAATTCATCACCCTTCTTCCATTTTAATGACTTCCAATTAACAAAATTTATTATTTGTAAATGCTAAAATATCATAGTAAAAAAAAAGAGAGAATGACAAATGAATAGAGTAACTATAAATTACATCTTATTTGAATTCGAAATCAATTAATTATTTTCAAATCTAACTCGAATACCTTTTTTTTCACATTGGATGTCATCCCATATCTAATTAAAAAATAAAACTTGGCTTAAGAGCTTATTCAAATACCTAAACAAAATGGAACCCACTATCATCCCTACTTCTATTGGCTAATCATAATCTATCCACACTTAGTTAAAGAAAAAAAAATCTAGGCTTTTCTCTCTCTTCCTAGGTGATAAAGATGTTCACATGCGAGCGATATATGCACCATTTTTGTTCTCTCTCTTCCTCTTTCCACTCTAACATTTCCTCTCTTTAGACCTATAAAAAGAATTATCATCTCTCTCTCTCTCTCTCTCTCTCTCTCTTCTTTTTTTCTTTCTTGATAAAGAGAAAAGCACTCGATCACTCACTCTCAAGTGAAAAAGAAGGCATAAATCTCAAAGCAAAACTTTGCTTTCTTTCCCCTTTAGAATAAGAAAAGAGATAGAGACATCACATCACATTACATCAGCTCATCCTCCTCCATTCCGAATGGGATAAATGCAGGAACACCCTTCAACTTTGATGCTTGCCAAAAGTGATCTTTTCCATATATAATGTTCTTCTTCCTTCTCTTCTTATTCTTTTTTTTTTTTCTTTTTTCCATATATTCTTTTTTTTTTCTCTTTCAAGCGACATGGACGGGGATAAATAATATTAAGATCATAAATAATAAAATAATATTTATTATTTTAAAAATATGCCAAACACATGCTTTAAAAAAAATATTATGATAATATTAGAGTTAAAAAATGATAAAGTAACAAGGAATTTATAGAATTAAAAATAAAAATAAAAATCTGCTTTTTTTTTATAGAGGGTTATAATAATCATCGACAAAGTTAAAAAAAATAAATTCATGAAAATTATTCTAAGATATTGTTGGATAAGTAACATAATAAGTTGACTAAACCGTCAAATATTATCGATAACATTGTCACGTACTCTAAATTAGCGTAGATTAGTGGGAACATGATGTTTGGATGTCCACATATTAAATTCCATCAATTATTAGTATTCACCATTATTAATAATTTTAATTTTGATGCTACAACATACAAGTATACAAAATTGATAATGGCAACAAAGACGACAAATGATCATATTCTATGTAATTGTTGGGGGTGGATGATATATTTATGGAAACTTTATGGACTAATATGAATATTATTACAGTAGAGAAGGGTATTTTGCACAATACAGACAGCTTAAAGGCTTATTTGCACATTACCCCCTCCAAGAATATTAAACGGTATTCCCCTCCGAAGTACTCTCTCTTTCACGGCCACGCACTCACCACCGCACTCGCACTGGGAAGAGAGAGAGAGATCGCAGGGGAATTTGGAGGGGGGGGCGATGGGCGGAGTGACGTCGTCTGTGGCGGCGAAGCTGGCCTTCTTCCCGCCTTCGCCGCCGTCCTACGAGGTGGTGACGGAGCCCGAGTCCGGGGTGGTCCGGCTCAGCCGCTACCCCCACCGCGAGAACGTGGAGGTGCTCCGACTCCCCACCCGCCGGGGCACGGAGATCGTCGCCCTCTACGTCCGCAACCCCATGGCCGCGTTCACGGTCCTCTACTCCCACGGCAACGCTGCCGATCTCGGCCAGATGTACGAGCTCTTCCTCGAGCTTAGCATCCACCTCCGCGTTAACCTGTTGGGGTACTCCACGCGATTCTCTTTTGTCCCTTCCTGTTTCGCCCTCATTCCTCTTTCCGGTTGAATTTGGCTTTAGAAGCTCGGGTTTTGATGGCTGAGAAGGTTCTCGGTTCCTGATTGATAGCGAAATATGGTTCTTTGCTTCGATTACGAACATCCTCGGGGGCACTTTTCTTTATTGGGCTTCGTAAGGAATCTTTAAGTTAATCGAGTAGGAAATTTTACACTTTTGCAAGTGTTATAGATCTAAGATGGGTTTGATGCGATAAAATTTTGATGCTTTTCTTCTACCAGCTACTAATCTAGGACGGCGGTGTGGTTTAAGCTAGTATTATAGGTTTTTGGGGTCAAATAAGAATAGTAAGTTGAATTCTGGGTAAATTTGCATCTTCCGTGACTGTCATTGGACTTCAAGATTAATGTGTGAAGGGCAATTTCAGTTCATTTTGATCAGAAGGCCTTTCATGTGAATATTAGTATTTAAAGTGGCTGAAATTAAGCTTAACATCATGAAAGCAGGTCATGTTGTATATCCGATTATTGAGGTGTCCATTAATGCAAACAATAAGATTGTGAATACAACCCATAATTATCGTCCGTTACTACCCATTTGGTTGTACTTAGCTCTTATTATAGTTATAATAAAATAACTTAAACAGTTCAACTCTAAATCTACAAATACTTCTACATAACATAGTCCCTAATGATCCAGCCCTGAATAGGGGCACAGACATATCAGAACCCCTAGAATCACTAAAGTGAATCTCTTTTGTAAATTTCTTTTCTTTTGTTCATGCAATCATCTATTTCTTTTCCCTTCTCATTCTCTTCTGGTTGGGCCTTCAGGAAGCAGCCATGTAAACTAGAGTTTAGTGGTTGCAAATTTCTAACATGCCAAGGCAGCCGCCATGACTTTCTTTATTACATGAACGATGCTCTATTCTAGTCTACATGTAGTTCAATGGTATTGACTTTGCTGTTGCTTGAAATTTAGGTTGAAATGAAAGCCAAGGGCTATTTTGTCTAGCATCATCTTGGGATTTCACATTTAAGCATGTCTCTTGAGGCATGCTGCTACTTTTTCGGTATTGCTCTTGGTTGCTTTTTGAGCTCTCTCTTGTGACAAACATACCTTTCTCAACTCTTCTCCTTTGTACATTAAAATTAAGATAACTTGATTCAATGAGGCAATCTGGAGATTGTTCCATTGCAAAAGACTCGTAGAATGACATCTTGTGTGAGTGCTTGGTTATTTAGAAAAAGGTTTTAGCCTACTAATTGCATATGTGCCACCATGCTACTCACACTTTGATTTAACCAAATGAATTTGTCATATTACACCTGATGAATGGTAGCAAGAAGGGTAACTTGCCTTCCCTTCTTCCCATGCCTATGCTCCTGTGGCTTGATTAACATTCCTTTCTCAGCAGAGCTGAATTATAGACCTGAAGATTTTATCAGTACAATGCATAAGTTGCACCTACTGATTAAATCAATGATCAATTACTAAGTGTGTATTCTTTTTCTCTTTTACAGACCAACTATTGATTTCTTCATTTGTCTTTTTATTTAATCAGTAGGTGCAACTTATGCCAGAACAAAGCCATTCTCTCATGTGTCATTCTCTACTCGTGTGTACACACAGTATGTGCCATATACCTGAAGGCATCAAGTACCTCATGTACTTGCATAAGCTTCTTTACAAATGTTTGATTTAACAGAATAGACTATTAGTTTTAGTTCAAAATATCTGTGTAAGAAATCATTGCAGGGCATGAGGAAATCATGATTGTTGCAAAGTTCTTTTTTATCTTTTTATAATTAGGAACATATGCTCATAATTTTATGTTAATTGAAAACACTTTTAAAATAAGAATTACAGATGTGGACCATGTGGTAACCAATTAAATGTATACTTCCATGAATGTCCGCTTTGCATGAATGGCATGGCTCTGCTCCTGCATATATGGTTTTGTAGCATGTTATTCAATACCAAATTATTGGTTTTGAAGATGATAAATTGATAGTCAAAATGAATATCCTTCACATGGCTTGTAAAGGGATGGTCATTTCTTGCATATTAATAAGCACATCTTCATACAAGCATATGAGACATCATCTTGTTGGGATGAGCTTATTTACAGACTTGGCCTCAAAAAGGTATTCTTTCCCTCACCCTATTGGGATGCGTTACTATCAACTGTATGCATTACCTCTAATTAACCTAATCCCAGTATCACAGAAGCCTTTTGCACTGAGATCATCACATCCTTGCCAATGAGTTTATCTTTTTATCGGTCATACATTGCCTTAAATAAGTAGCTAAGAAACATGAATAAGATGTGTTGAACTGTTTATAATGACATATAATGAGAATCTTTTGAAATCGTATGACAATATAGATGAAAGAGTAGAAGAAAAGCTTTGTGTCAATGAAGAGGGACTTGACTAATGAAAACATGGTTTACTGTTGTAAGATATTCAGATACATCTTGGCATATATCTATTTATACAGAAATGGATGGATTAATTACTATTTGTATGTTATAGCTAATTCTTTATGCTAACTGATGAAATAACATATGTGAATCATTTTTTATTATGCATCATGATAATACTTTGTATGAAGGGGATTAGATTTGGAAAAACAGAAAGCTGATGAATTCCTGGTGTAACACAGTAGCCATGTCTCACAGCACCGTATCTTCTTTGTTCTTTGATTGCTGATATGGGGCTATCAATTTTGTATTAGAATCTTGTAATTAAGATTTAAGATACAGCTCAATTGTTGGGATGACATCAAAAGCTTTGTTAATCCATAAGATCAGTTATCAGAGCATGAACCTTCTTTTTTCCTTTGAAGACAAAACGTCATCCCTGTTTTTTTAAGGTCATATGTAAACTATCTTTATTCTTTCACGGTTAGTTCAATTATTGAGATCTTAGTGTGAGAAATTGAGATCTTGCTTCATTTCAAACTGTTCAGTTTGAGAACCACAGCTGAGCATATTAGGTTTTCTGTTGTTTGTATATACCTTCCCTTCTTGTTCCAGTTGGATAAGCAGAATGTGTTTAATGTCACATGATAAAATTTAAGCAGTCGCAGGAAAAATGCAAAAATCATCTGAGGCTTTCATATGCTTGCAGGTATGACTATTCTGGCTATGGTCAATCATCCGGAAAGGTTAGATACTAATCTCCTTAGATCTGCTCGATGACATTTTCTTGCTTTACAAATTGTGATTGGTAGGATGATAATAGGTCCAAATTAAGTAAATTTATTTTTCACTCTCGCAGCCAACTGAGCAAAACACCTATGCTGATATAGAGACCGCTTATAAGTGCCTCGTAGAGAACTATGGTGCTAAGGAGGAAGAAATTATCCTCTATGGCCAATCTGTGGGAAGTGGACCAACTGTGGACTTGGCTGCCCGTTTACCTCATTTTCGTGCTATCATGCTGCATAGTCCTATACTATCAGGTTTAAGAGTGATGTATCCTGTAAAACGCACATACTGGTTTGACATCTACAAGGTTAGTTTTCATCTAAATGCTTCTTTTTCTTTCTTTTCATGGTTCCTTTGCATATATTAATTTTTTCTTACTCATCATTCTATTTCCAGAACATCGACAAGATATCATTGGTTAATTGTCCTGTGCTAGTAATTCATGTGAGTATATATGCCCTTACACTCCCTTACACTGTATATTGATTTTGTAAATGTCACGTGGTACTGTCTCTTTCTGAGAATAACTTGCAATTATTTATTTATATCTGATCCAAATATGTACATTACTTGAAAAGAACTGACATATGGACTTAACAATAACCAATGAAACAGAAAAGGAACGGAGAAATCTAATGAAATGTACATGTAATGCTTATTCACAGTATCTTATGGCTCACTTTGAATTAATAAGCCATTAGTTTCCCGATATGGACATGATTGTTCTGCCAACTGCTTTATAATGTCATATGGAGCAGATGCTATCTATCATATCAAGTAGCTTTAACATGTTTAAACTATCATGTTCCCACAATCCCATACATGTGACAACATTAGACATCTTTATTTATCTCTGTATAATAATTGTTTATGACATGGTGTGTTCGTGTCACATTCAGTAGTTTCAACTTTCAACATGCTTATACTTGCATCTTCCATTCATCTCCCTGGAAACAATACATGAGTCAGCACTGGACAGCTTTCTTTGTCTTCTCAAATTTCTTTATGACAACTAAAGTTTCAAAGTGAAGCTTCACAAATAGTTCTACAAACATTTGTTTTCTTGAATTTGTTGATGGTGCCAGACTCTGGTCTACTCTAGGTGTTAGCCTTCCTTGAATACACAATTTGATGTCTCTTTTTGTTGGTAAGAGAACAAAAGGACAAAATTTTCAACAAAATGAAGTATACAAAATTTCTGAGAAAGGTGCATAAATAGTTTCCTCTCAGCAATTATTGATTTACTTTTATAAGAGTCTACACAAGCTATTGCATTTTTCTGCACCATGGATAGATCCTACCACAGATTTCTCCAAATCTTTGCCTTAATTTTCTCAGAGTGTGATTTCAGTCATGAATCTCTTATTTATTTTTTATCTGCAGGGAACATCTGATGAAGTTGTGGATTTTTCTCATGGTAAGAAGCTATGGGAATTGTGTAATGAGAAGTATGAACCTCTTTGGCTAAAAGGAGGAAAGCATTGTGACTTGGAGCTTTTTCCAGAATACCTTAAACACATCAAGAAGTTTATATCTACAGTTGAGAAATCACCTTCTCAGAGGAGCACCTGGAGAAAAAGTGCAGAACAGTTTGAACCTCCTAGGAAGAGCACTGATTGCTTTGAACCATCAAGGAAGAGCATTGATCGAAGAGAAAAATCTAGGCAAAGTACAGAGAAGTCAAGAAGCAAAGATCAGAGGACTACAAATGTGGAAAATTTGGAAAAATTAAAGATATCATTTGACCAAATGGAGAAGTCTAGGAGGAGTTTAGATTGTTTTGATAAGTCTAGGAAGAACATTGATCAACTGGACAGAGGACGGAAGAGTGTTGACAGATTGGATAGGATCTGGGCTGGATGAACTTTTCACCTCTTTGCAAAATTCATACATGCGCGTTGATTGGGGTTGTGTACATTTTTTTATGTTTATCAATCATATAATCTGTCTGTGGATGTTTATATGCATTAGATGGATGTTGAAAGTAAATCCTAGTTGATGAGTGATTGTATCTCTTGGTTAATGATCGGACAATTTTTTTTCTTCTGATGATAATTAACTAGTTTCTTAGTGGAATTGCTCATGATGTTTTCTTTTGTGGCAACCAATGATAAGAATGTATAGGTTTTCCTTTTTCTTAGTGTTAGAAATGAAGTTAGTCCCTTTAAGTTGCAATCAATTTCTGCAACTGATATTTCAATCAGAAGGTATAATTCTCCCAGGCTTTTTAGGATGATGATATGACACCAGCTAGCTGTTTTAGCTATATCTAAATGTCTTTTCTGTAAACTGTCAAGTAAATGTATTAATGTCAAGCCACATGTGATGGTTCCTCATGATTTGGTACTCTTTCCTTTTTCACTGCCAACCATTGGCACTTTGGTTTTCCTGATCGTCAACCTTCTTCCCTGCTACTGTCAATGGCATGGCATCATAGTTGGTTGCCGACTATATTTATGTACCATTTCAGGTTCATGCATCATCCTCAGGTCACTAATTAGCTGAACCTGTAAATAAAATTTTAGATATAAATATTTATTCATACATATTATTTTAGATACAAAAAATATCTACATTATTTATGGATAAAATAGATAAATAATATGCATATTATTTTGAATATAAATTAAAAATGTTGGCTCCCAGCGGGTTTGGTTTTTCTTCGATGAATCGGTTCTGCAACGGACCGAACCAGAGACGACCGCATCAACATCAGCCGACAAACCGGGTTCGGGTTGCTTTCGGGCTTCCTCTTTCTTCCCAGTAAAACCCGTAGTCATCTAAGAAACAGCTCTGCCTTCACTTCCTCCCCATCGATCGTCGATTCGGGTGAAGAGGAGGAACATCGATCGATTCGATGCCCCCAGACCCCTTGATTTGCTCTTGAGGCCTCGATTCGGAGACATGTATGCAAGCTCCAATCACTTCCCCCTCCAATCGTCCTTGTGTTGGGGCAGCTGTTTGCTTGCTGGATTTTGATTTGTGTTTTCTTGGATCTCCAGGAGCTCGGAAGAGATCGGGACGGCGGCGATCAAGCGCGCCATCGTGGCGCTCCGAAAGCGGCATTTGCTCGAGGAAGGCGCCCACGCTCCGGCCATCAACGCCCTCTCCAGACCCCTCGTCGCCCAGGTACGTCGAGACTGCACCATGGAATCGGGGGCAATGGCAACCCTCTATTGATGTAATAGTGGGACTTCCGGTGCTTGTTGATAATCCTAGAACAGGATCTACACCACGGGAGAACGACCATTGTTAGGTTTGTGCCTATTAACACGGAGGAATTGGATTATACTCTCTGTAAATAGATGAAATTTACACAACATGCGATTTGATGTCGTCTTCGATGACTGGTGCTGTCTGGAGGCTATATCGGAAATTGATTCTTCCTTAATCCATCTCCCCTGTGCTCTTAATTCAACACCCCTAATACTTAAATACTTTTGAAAATTTTTATCCATCCTAATTAACCATAGAGTATGACTTAATTATTCTTGTCGTATTGCTAAATTTTCACTTCATATGTTTGATACATTTTGTCTTAGTCTTTTTATTCAAAACCCTAGTTCCTAAGTTGTTTTGATGGTCAAAGGTCAATGCTAGCTAGACTCTGATTAGTCAAAATCATTATCGTCAACGAAGCACACATACCATAAAATTTTATCTTGAGTATGCTTTGAAATAAAAGCATAGTCAATTTGTTAGACTGTTGTGAAAATCTGGGACTGGCCTTATCTTGTTATTATATCCGAATTAATTGTCATAAAGAATCG